GTCATCATCTACACTAATAAATCAATGCCTAAAAAGTTATTTTGTGCGTTGAGGGTGTTTTTGGTGTTAAGGCTTGTGACACCCTCACGACAGCTCGATAGGAACAATTTTTAAGCGAGACAGCGACTTGCCGCGCCCTACTTTTAACCCAGACGTCGCGTTGTGACTATCACCATATAGATTACACGTAACCGTAAAAAAAATATTCTTTAAATTAAAGATTACCATAACTTTTACAACAGTTCAGGTAAATGTTTCAAGAGTGACAGCGACTTGACTCGCCTTACTTATTATCCAGATATCAAGCCATCTGACTCACCATATACAGAAAGAATGGCAAACCTAAAAAAACTGTTCTGCCAATTCAAGATTAGCGACACTCTCACAACAGCTCACCAGGCGTAGTTTTTAAGCGGGAGACGGCGAGTTGCCTCGACCTGCTTATAACCCAGACATCGCGCCTTTTAATTATCATCATACACGCTAATAAATCAATATCTAAAACAGTGGTTTTACACTTTGATATTGTTCTTTGGTGGCAAGACTATTCACACAATAGATACAATTTTTCCACTTGAGACAGCGACTTGTCTCGTCCTACTAAAGCCCTAACATCGTGTCTTCTGGCTATCGCCATAGATATTAATAAATGTCAACCGTAAAAAAAAATGTTCTGAGCTTTGAAAATTAGTAACTTTTACAACAGCTCAGGTAAAATTTTTCACCGAGTGACAACTTGACTCGCCTTGCTTAAATCCGGATTAAAAGGCATCTTATTATCACCATATACAGAAATAAAAGTACAAAAAAATATTTTTCACTTTGGTAGTGGTCTTATTTGGCAGATTAGTGACACTCTCACCACAGCTCGGTAGTAAAATGTTTCAGCGCGTGATCCGCTTGCCTCGACCTGCTTATAACCCCGACATCGCGTCATTTGACTAACGTCATATACATTAATAAATGCCAACCGTAAAAAAATGTTCCGAGCTTTGAAAATTAGTGTAACTTTTACAACAGCCCAGGTAAAATGTTTCAGCGAGTGACAGCAACTTGGCATTGATTATAACCCAGATAAAAACGCATCTGGCTATCACCATATACAGAAATAAAGCTACCAAAAAATTATTTTTTACTTTGGTAGTGCTCTTTGTTGGCATGACGAGTACACTGAGCGCCTTGCCGCGCCCTTACTTTTAAACCAGACATCGCCCCATCTATCACCATGTACATAAATAAATGACATAAATGATAACAAACTTTGGCCGTAATCAAAACTGGTCTACGTTATCAAGAAGTGCCGCTCCACGACAACTCGGTAGTAAAATGTTTCAGAGTGATCCACTTGCCTCGCCCTGCTTATAACCCGAACGAGAGTCAGAAAGGAAATAAGTGAATTTTTTGCGTCGGACTTCACCCAAGGGCCTCCATATCGGCGAGAGGGAAATTAATGATGAGAGGGTTGTAAAAGATTTGTCCATCGACAAATCCCCCCTGAAATCGTCAATAAACCATAAACACAGAGTATGAACGAGCGAAGCAAAACCGGTTATTGCACGTTGATAAAAATAGCTATAAAAAAATAAAAATAAAATAAAAAATATAGAAAAAACACGAGGCCATACGCGCAATATCCCCAGAAGATACAAAAGGCAAAACGACTGAATCGGCGCTTCCCGGGTTATCGCTGGCGAAAGACGTCACTAGAGAAAATCTACAAACGGCTTTCATCCCGTAAATCGTTTATTTTTTTATATACTCATTATTATACTAGTGTTATTAAACAAAAAAAAGTTTAAAAGGTCAAATTTTTTGCCATTTCTGCATGCCTATGCACTTTTCTCTTGGCGTCAAGGGTCGGGCGCTTGACCGAAGATGAACTATATTTCTCGATTATCAACAAGCCTTATAATTTTGTAATTGAAGAGAGTAAGGCCTAGCTTTCATCCATACAAAAAAAGGTCGTCAACGTATCTGTTTCGTTAAAACTTGTGAGAACGCCTGATGGGAAAATCGCGATTTGGGGTCTTCTGAGCCACATATCTATAGGGTGGTGGACGTGGGCGAAATTTGTCCAGTGGAAGATGAAAGGTTATTGTCTATTGGCCGTTTTGTTCCGCCTTTAACGGTGGGAAAGCCGGAGATGAGCCACGAGATCGAGTCTCCCGGTGGTCAATGATGCACAATTACTCGAAGGCGTATGTCGGGATTGGTATTGACCACAAACGGGTCTTTTAATGCCACAGTAAGACTATTGAAAACTATCAAATCCGGAAATAGACCAGATGATTATTCCGAACTGAGAACACTCGCTACAAAATACTAAAAGACTGAAGAAAAGTATGGCACTTTCAGACGAGGCGGCGGTTCGGTTGATTCAACTAATTATTCAGAAATCGTGAGATGCGGTCTGGTGTGATGTAGGTTTCAGAAAAACATTTTCTTTATCGTGACAACGTTTCGATCTTTATTGAGATCATCTTCAGGGCCTTGTGTTGTCTGCATTTCAGCAAAAATGTTCTCTGGTTGATAGCCGATGCGAGTTTCTTCTCATTGTTGGTGATGTCCTTCAGAATACTATTAGCTTCGTGTCCATATGTAGTTGAAATTTGTTCATAGAATCTCATGTTCTTCGTTCTTCTCGTGTAGAAATGTATGGTGATTAGTGACCGTTAGTGACATCGCCAACAATGAGAAGAAACTCGCATCGGCTATCAACCAGACAACTTTTTTGCTGAAATGCAGACAACACAAGAAGATGATCCCTGAAGATGATCTCAATAAAGAAAATGTTTTTCTGAAACCTACATCACACCAGATCGCATCTCACGATTTCTGAATAATTATCAATTAACGGTCACTAATCACCATACATGATTCAACTAAGTTGCCCGGTTGACTCTCAACTAGTTTGCTGTGTGAAGACGTTTCTTTGCTGGTTTCACACCAGGCAACTTGTGGAATCAATCTCTCTTCCCATCGAAGGTCACTACAATGTTAGAACCCGAGGAAGCAGGAGCAATTCTTGTGCTTGCTCTTCTGCAAAAAGAGAAGCAAAAAAGGAGGAAACCCAAAAAAAGTGTGCATTTATTCGTTGTTATAAAAACTCGATGGGAAACGGGCGCTTTCTCTCAAATACTGTTGTGTACTTCCCTCCAAGCTTCTTTTAAGTTCATCACTATACTCCTGATACCTCATGCCCCATATCACGGGACTAATATGATTATCTTCGATGAACTGCTCTACATTGAAACTTGCAACTGAAACGCTTTCCATGGTGAACTCAGTTGACTCAACAAGGCGACTCGTGTGAAGAACGAATGCCGAGCAGTGTCTTCTGAGTTGAGTCAACCAGTGTGGGTGAGAACGTGAGCGGCACATGTACTTGCTGGCCACCCGCCTGGGCAGACGAGTTGACTGCGTGTGAAGGGGTTGGGTCGATTCCCATTTTGCTACCACGTTGACACACGTCCGTTGAACTAGTTGAATCAACTAGTCGCCTCGTCGGAAAGAGGTCTATAAAAAAAGGCATCATGTTTTCGTGGAGATAAAAAGGTTTATTTCGCAGACTTCCTTGAAACGTTGACGCCGCCCCAAGTGATAGCCTTTAGATGTTCATAAATCAATACAAATCAATACGTTGATAGATAAAATCGTTCCAATGGAGGAGACGCATTTTGCCTTTCACCGCTTCTTCCCTGACCTAGCGCCTTGTATGATCTAATAAATGGCAAACCTAAAAAAATATCTCTGCACTTTGAAGCCTATTGACACTCTCACAGCTGCTAGGACTGAAAAACATTGCAAGTGAAAGTCAGCGGCTTGCCTCGTCCTGCTTATATCCTGACACCACACCATCTCTGTTGATATGCACAAATAAATGCCAAAACCAAAGAAAATATCTCTGCACTTTCCAGACTATACCATACCTAAAAAAAGTTCAGCGCTTTCAAGACACGCAATAGATAGGTCAATTTTTTCGGGGAGTCATGTATTTGCCTCGCCCTGCTTATAACCCTGACGCCCACTATTATCATGTACACAAAATATAGGTCATCCGTAAAACCGTTCTTTTGGGCTTTCAAGACTATTAATGTTCACACAACAGTTCGATAGGTAACATTTTCAGCGAGATTTAGCGACTTACCTCGCCCTGCATATAACCCTGACACCGCGCCATGTGTCTATCATCATATAGACAAATAAAAGCCGACCGTAAAAAAAGAAAAAACAAACTTGTTCAGCGCTTTCGAAGCTCTTGGCACACCCCACCCCGAAACGTCAAATTGTCTAGAGTGTCTTCGATTTGCCTCTCCCTGTTTATAACCCTGAAGCCGAGCTAACTAACTGGTTATCATCAAGTACACCAATGATTTGTTTTTCGCATTGATCGTGTTGTTTAATAGCAGTACTATTGACAATGACGCAACTGCTCAATAGGTAACATTTTCAGTGAGAGTTAGCGACTTGCTACGCCCTGCTTATAACCCTGATACCGTGCCACTGACTATAATCATATAGACAAATAAACGCCGACCGTAAAAAAAAAAGAAAAACAAACCTGTTCAGCGCTTTCGAAGCTCTTGACGTCCCGATACGTTAAATTGTCTTGAGGGTCTTCGATTTGCCTCTCCCTGTTTATAACCCTGATGCCGGGCTAACTTCAAGTACACCAATGATTTGTTCTTCGCATTGATCGTGTTGTTTGATGACAATACTATTAATAATAAGGAAACAGCTCGATATGAAAACATTTTCCAAGAGAGCAGTCAACTTGCCACGGCCTGCTTATAACCCTGATATCGTGTCATCCGATTGTTCATTTCTAACAAACCCATTATAACTATCTTCACTACAATATTCACAGCAGTCAGCTCACCACGGCCTACTTATACAGGGTCTTCTGACTACCACCTAAACTAACTAAAACCTAGTCAGACTACCATCGAATTAGAAATTTGGACATTTCACTATCCTTCAAGCGTAAATTTCATGCTCACCTTATTATCTTCCTCTTGTTGTTCGGATGCAGAGAATTGGCCATTTCAGGATCCAATTTTTTGAGTTTCTCGTGGAGTTTGGCGCTCCCTGAATCGACCAAATTTTCAATTTCACGCTCCGGTTGAAGATCCAACTGGGGGCCGACGGTGTGCAAAACGTTCGACACGACGGCGCGAATGAGCGAGAGGCATTTTTCAAAACTTTCCTCCCTCTGGAAAAAGAGCGATTTGAAAATTTAAAAAACGTACATTTCTCGAATATGACAATATAAAGAAAACAAACTAACTTCTTTGATCTTCTCGTCTGTCGTCAATCCGTCTATCAAGGCCCAGAGCTTATCGAACCCGAGTTTCTTCTCGTCTGGAAATCGGGACTTAACATCGGAGAATAGAGTGTTCATCGACCTTTCATATTTGCTAAGCTCGTTTTCCGGAAACTCCACGCCAGATTCAAGACACCTGTTAAAATATGATTACGTTTAATATAATAATTTAATATTTTTGGGTCAAAATGAGACAAAACATTGCTAATAATACCGAGGGCGATTTCTGGTCCGCCTCTTCTCGCTGCGGATTACGAGGCCAATAAACCTTTAATTGAGAAAATGTGCCGCTGGTATAAACTTAAAATCGATTGATGTCGGAGGGGTGGAAAAATAAAAACACAAAGGGAATAAATCTCAATTAGAATTCATTATGTTAATTTCATGCTCCGCCCAGTAATTAATTGAGGGTAAATGTGCCGATTCTCATAGATTCGAATTACACCAGATAGGAAAATAACAACCGGTTTTTCTTCATAATAATTAAATACAAACTCCAACGTGAAATTTTATAGATTAACTTGTTATTATTTCACTGAAAATATTCGCCTGTTTTGATCTCACCAAATAAAACAAAGAAAGACAGAATTTTCGTAAATCTAAAAAATCGAGAATCTTCGTAAATCGAGGGAGACATAGAACATAAAAAGTTAGCGAGAGACTAAGATAATGAAATAAAGAGAAAAGTAAGAAAAAGATAATTGGAGGGTGGGTGAGATAGATAGATTGAAGGAGAGAAAGAGAGAAAAAGAGAGAGTAAGAAAGAGAGAAAGAGACATAGAACACAAAAAGTTAGCGAGAGACCAAGATAATGAAATAAAGAGAAAAGTAAGAAAAAGATAATTGGAGGGTGGGTGAGATAGATAGATTGAAGGAGAGAAAGAGAGAAAAAGAGAGTGAGAGACAAGAAAGTTAATGAAGGAGAGTGAGTGAGTGAGGGAGTGAGAAAGAGAGAGAGAGAGAGAGAGAGAGAGAGAGAGAGAGAGACATAGAAAGTTAGCGAGAGACTGAGATAATGAAATAAAGAGAAAAGTAGGAAAAAGATATAAGATACGTAGATTGAAGATAAAGATAAAGTTATGATAGTAAATAGATAATAGTAGTAAGATAGAAATAAATAGAGAGAAAGGGAGAGTGAGGTAGTGAGAGTCATAGGATATTCGATTGTTGTACATATTTCCGCTTATATTCTACATGGAAAAAACCGAATGCACCTTATAACTACCGTCACTACTCGTCTACCTCACTCTTACCCAACCTAACATCTAACAATGCATACCTTGCCTAATCTAATCTGTCGCTAACTATAACCCTAATCTAACCCAACCCAATCAATGGGCGGGCCCTCACCGGTCATGAAAAATAATTGTGTATTCACCCATGATCATATATTCATAGAAATTTATGTGACAGAGTAGTTTTTTCCCTTAGAAGAAAAATGAAATTATTGCATTCTCCAACCTAACTCGCCAGATGCAATAATCATCATTAAAATAATAATTGCTTTGAAAGGGGCATTTTCTATTAAAATTAAAAAGAAACTAGCATTCTGCGAGTCGAACTGCAGCTGTACTGGCAGTACAGGTGGACAGCACAACGCTAATGATCACGATACTTTTACATTCTTCCAATATTTTCTGAACAAGTTTGCGCTAATTAACCTAATTTTTATGATAAACTTGACCGACGAAGGACAAAAAAGGCAATCGGTTTTGTTGTACATGACTTCGAAAAGGTACAATTTTCTCGACAACGGGACACCGGGGTTCCTCATTACTCCGTAACTTTTGGATTTCGACTTATCCCAATTAATATTTTTTTACCCATTCACCCGCGGAGCCTGTTTTATCTCCCTGTCGACGGATTCCGAGATAAAACGCCTCCGCGGGAGCAATGGGCCCGCCATCACTCGCTGAGTTTCTTCTTCGAGGGCTGGAACCAGTTTCCGATATCTCATGAATACAAATTCGCTCAAATCCGCAGAGCAGAGTTCTTACGGTTTTTTTTTGCGACCGGCGGCATTCATAAATCCATCTGTAATTACAACTGAGTCCATTTATGAAGAAATCAAGAAAGAATTTATCGACCTCGTCTACGATAAATTTTATAAAATATACGACACAAAGTAGTTTCCTATTCAATATGCGACTATGTTTAAAATAAGACCCTGAAACGAAGCAAAAATATATTATTTATATTTTTTTTAAAGTTGGAGAAGTTAGTGTCCGAGCGGATCGATAGCCCAAGTGGTAGAGCAGCGGAGTATTTAGCCGAAGATGGGTTCGAATCCCGCTCGTGACACTAATTTTTTTATCTCAACCAATACCTTTCATAAATATTAATTAGTTGAAAAAAGTTAATTGGTCAATCGGACCACGAATTGTAATGGATTTTTTTTTTTAAATTTCAGAAAATAATATTTTACATACGAGACAATTAGGTTTCAAAAATCAAAAAGCGGAACAACGTAATTTTTCCAGAAATTAAAAAATCTTGAAAAATCTCTCTTGACACCATAATCATCATATTTTAATTCAAATGTTGGATGTGTGCGTATTGGAAGTAACCCGGTTACGAGCACAAAAATAGACAGTGGGGCGTTCCACACGGTTCCGCGGTAAGTCCCCTTTTCTTTTTGGTGTATGTTAACGGTATTTTGTGGAAAACGAGCACTAACACGCTGATTATATTTCTGATCGTTACTCAGGCAAATATTGGAAAGATGTGTAAAACAGATGCAATTTGACATATTCGCGCAATATTTTTAAATACAAATTGGAACACTCCCTGCCACGGTTCTTCAGATACCAAATTTTACCTGTATCATACTGTTACCTTGATCCCCAACCTTGATGTAATTTTATATCGATAAATTTTCAAAAAAAATGTATGTATATATACATATATATATAATGTCCCAACCGTCAGGATATCACTAGTAAGTTTGAGATCACAGATGCGATCATCAAAACAATTAAGTTTTGTAACTTATGCCAAGGTTTCAACATTTATCGAGGTATTCATCAGGGCTCTTGTATTTACTTGTAGAGCCCTGATGAAGACCTCAATAAAGCTTGAAAGCTTGGCATAAGGTACAAAATTTACTTGTTTTTGATGACACAGCCCTGATCTCGTACTTACAAGTGGGTCCCTGTTGAGATCAAATATGTAGAAAATCCCAAAACGTTTTCTAAAAAAGACTCGGCTCCTTGAGTATAAGGGTAAGACCAGTAACAAATTTAATACCAACTATTTAACAAGGGAAAATCTTATATTTTCAAATTTGTTTAATTCATTCTTACAACTTGTAACTATTATTTTACCAATTTTTCTCTCCGATGTCATGTTCCCCATTCACTGGATTCTCTTCAAGCCATTTTTTATTCATTGTATTGCTGTCATCCCTTAAAAAGGATTTACCTCAAGGGTGCCATAGCGCTAACTTGTTATACAAATGTATATTTTTTTGTACTAGGAAATTTGTACAGATTGTATCTCTTTTTTTCTGTACTATGTAGTTGGTAGTCACCCTAATAAAGTTGGCAAGATAAAAAAACAGTATCACAAGTTGGTTGGTGTATTGTAATATAACGATACCACAAAATAACTTGCGGCGAATCTTTGCACATATTCTGTTTTAAAACCGTCCTATCAACAAATGAATTTGTAAAAGAAAAGCCTTCCTTGAAACCCCTTCATTCTGAGGATTTACATTCAAATTAAAACCTGACGTATTAAACAGAGTGCATGTTTTAAAAGGAAGGAAAAAAATCCTGCTATTCTTAACAACGTCAACCGTGAATAGGCAAAAGATTACGAATTCGTTTTCCTATCGCGTTGACATTGCTCGAGCGGAAATAGATAGACCGTTGTGAGACAGAGCGGGAAATCCTAATTGTTCATTGAAAATTTGCCTTCATACACAACTGAAGACGAAGGAAGAAACTTTAGTAACTTCTATCGAAATTGAGAAATTCAACTTAAAAGTATTATAAAAACCAGTGGTTTAAAACATAAATGATAAAATAAGAGTCGAGTCTAACCTGATTAAAGGGAGGGAGGGAGAGGGAGAGGGAGAGGGAGAGGGAGAGNGAGAGAGTGAGAGAGAGAGAGGGAGAAAAAAAGGGTGGAGAGGGGGGGGAGAAGAGAGATCAGGATAATGAATGAAAGCGAGAGGTCAAGAGAGATGATGATGATGAACGCTTTATTTATGAATCACGTAAGATTTGATCATCATTCTTACTCCAATTTATAACAAAGAGAGAGAACGATTGAATGGATGAATAAGGGAAAGGGAGAGTGAAAGATTCAGCTTATGTTAGACCTGATACGTACAAATTCAATGAAAGTACAATTTGAACAAGTTATGCTTTCCAAACAACTAAAAGCGCCAAAACCAAACAAAAAATCTCCCGGTATGTAAATTGAACTATGTAATATCTCACCTTTTCTACCTACTTTGACAAGATGGAATCGCAGTAGGCCGACCAATCCTGAATGTCCTGGAGGCATATCTCCAAGGTGACTTTGTCAGCATCGGAAGGCAGCCCATCCATGAGGACTTTCCAGAGTAGTGACTCGATGTAGTAATGCGTCCCTCCGACGACTATCGGCAGCTTCCCTTCGGACCTGAGACGTTCTATCTGCCGTGCGAGTCAAGGAGAAATATTTCCGCCGGCGGCCAAAGCTACGGTACACTTCCGATAAACGCACGATAAACTGCCGGACAGACTGAAAATCCCCCCCGAGACATTATTGACCTGAGGTCAATCGTACGATCTGTACCATGCGCATTCCAAGACTGTAAAAATTGTTCTATTATGTAACGGAATATAAAGTTAAATTAAGAAAAAGATAATTGGAAGGTGGTTGAGAGATAGGAAGGATGAAAGAAAGAAAGAAAGAAAGAAAGAAAGAAAGAGAGAGAGAGAGAGGAGAGAGAGAGAGAGAGAGAGAGAGAGAGAGAGAGAGAGAAGACAGAGAGAGCCAGAGAGGAGGGAGAGAAAGAGAGAGAGAGATTGAATTATTTATTTAAGCGCGCAAAGTTAGGAATCAGGAACCTTTTTACAATTAATATGCGTAAGCATTTTCATTATATAGTTTTTAAAATTTATTTTCCAAATAAACTTTATAATGAAGAAAAAAATTCATAAATTATTTACTAAACAATTGACGACGCGAAAATTTTTCGGTTATAAATATATAAGGCAATCTGTATCAATAACAATAAATAATTTAAAAAAAAAACTAAAAAAATAATGAAATACCTCCCACAAAAGAGAGAGAAATAGCAAGATTGAATGGGCGAGGGTGAAAAAGAGACAAATAGATTGAGTGGCATCGTGAGTGCGTGTGTGTGTGCGTGCGCGCGTCTATGAGATAGAGATAAATAGATAGATACATTTAGAGAGGGAGAGAGAGAAGCAGATTGAGCGATAAAGAAAGAAAGAGAGCGTATGAGAGAATAAGCAGAAAAGACAAAGAGCGTGAGAACAAAACTGAGTGAATCTCAGAGAGAAGAATAATTGAATGAAAAAGAGAGACAAACAGCATGATTGATTGGGTGAATGAGAGAGAAAGGCAGCAAGATTAAGTAAATGAGAAAGAGTGAGAGCAAGATTGAGTGCATGAGAGAAAGAAAGATGGCAAGAGAAAGAAACGAGAAAGAGTGAGAGCAAGATGAGTGAATGAGAGAAAGAAAGACGGCAAGAGAAAGAGTAAGATTAAGTGCATGAGAAATGAGACAGATGGAAAGAGAAACAGCAAGAATACGTGAATGAGAAAAGGAACGATGACAAGAGAAAGAGCAAGATTAAGTGAATGAGAGAGAAAGGCAGCAAAATTAAGTGAATGAGAAATGAGAAATTGAAAGAGTTAGAACAAGAGTGAGTGAATGAGACAGAAAGATAGCAAGAACGAGAAGAAGATTGAGTGGATGTGAGAAGAAGAAATGAGAGACGGTAAGATGAAGTGAATGAGAAATTAGAAAGAGCAAGAAAGATAGCAAGATTGAGAGGTTAAGAGTAAGTGTGAAAGAGAAAAAAAGAAAGAGAGAGAGAGAGAGAGAGTGAGAGTGGGGAGAGAGAGTGATAGAAGGGAGAGAATTAAAAAAAATAGTATAAATTATCCTACTATGTAACTCCAAAATTGTCGTGTTGAAAATGCGAATGGGATGAGGAGACAAAAAAAAAATTTAAGGAAGCTAGGATAGAAAAAAAATAAAGATAAGGATATACAAACTTCTTTGGAATATAGATTCAAAAGCGAGATGGAGAGATAAATGCAATGATGGAGTGTTGGCAGTGGAGAGAGATGTGTATTTAACGACCTGTCAAAAATCGAAAAACAGTCCTAATTTGAATACGCGCATATCAAGTTCAAAGAGGGCCTTCATGACCGGCACGGGCGCGTTTGCAAAAAAAGTCCGTGGGACCTGTGAGAAAATAAACACCGGCTCTAGTTTTTCTATGAAGCCGTAAACTAAGCCCGGATGCCAGGCATTCCTGCTGTGTTTACAAGGCGTTTCCGCTCAATGAAATGCCACCGGGGTATTTACTTAATAAACCACTTTGCCTGGGATCCGACAAGATTAAAAAAAAATCGTCCGGCTATCGCATGTCGCAGTTGCCAAATAATTTTTTTTTTTGGGGTCGATCCGAGATTATCAAAGATTTGAGCAGGTTTTACCTCGGAGTAGCTGACGTTCAACTCATCCTTGGTACAGGCTAATGTAAATAGCGCCCACCTTGCCAAGAATATTAAAACAATGCGTTGCAATTAAGCATATTTTAAAAAAGCTTTATCTATACATTTCTGTCAATAAAATTATCATGAATGAATATTAGAAGAGAGATAGAGTCGAAGTCATCTGTGACAACGCAAGGTCGCATATTTGCTCGGTGACGCGGACAAAATTGTTGCACTCTGGCTCCGACGTGCTACCTCGCCCACAGACCGTTCTCACCCAAGAATTCAATTATTTAAGAATAAAAAAATGTAATTTTTTTCATCAAATCTTCAATTCCTAGTTGAGCACGGATGTTGATATGAACAGACTATTTATGACTTCCTTGTATTAAATTACCTATTATATAATCGATTTGATAACAGATTCAAAACAGGTTTATTTATTTTTCCGAGGGTATTTGGCAAAAACTAATTTTCTTAAACCTGCGGGTTGGAAGGACGTCACGTTTACCGGTTTAAAAGGCTTAATTAGAAATGATTGACAATAATTTGACAATCCATTATCATCTGCGATGCTGTTCCACGGTAGGATTTTTCTTTTGTCGATTTCTGTTGCTCCAAATTGGACAAACCGTCAAACGAGTTATTACGTACATTTAATTTTTCTCCCGGTCTAAACACTGGCCCTTTAGCGAATGAGAAAGTGTAGATAGGGATTTTGCAGGCTAGAATGGACCTAAACCTTGGTATGAGGAGAGAGAGAGAGAGAGAGAGAGAGAGAGAGAGAGAGAGAGAGAGAGAGAGAAGAGAATAGAAGAGAGAAGAGAGAGAGAAGAGAATAGAAGAGATAGAGAGAGAGAAGAGAAGAGAGAGATAAGAGAATAGAAGAGAAGAGAGAGAGAGAGAGAGAGAGAGAGAGAGATGGGGCGAGAGAGATAAGAGAGAGAGAAGAGAAGAGAGGAGAGAGAGAGCCAAACTGAGGGAATGAGAGAAAGTAAGATTAAGTTAATGAAATTGTTTAATCAATTGAGAGAGACAGAGAGAAAGAAACATAGAGTTCAAAGACAGCAAGATTGAATTAATGACAGAAAGAACAAGAAAAAGACAGCAAGATTAGTGCATGATAAAAAGAGCAAGAAAAAGAGAGCAAGTTTAGTGCATGATAAAAAGAGCAAGAAAAATACAGCAAAAATGAGATTGATATCGTTTTATTTAGCCACGCAGAATGAGGTCTCTTGAAGTTCTCTCACATCCAAGGTGGTTTATAGTTTATACATAAACGTCATAATATAAATTATATTAAATAATCTACTTTATGTAAGAATAAAAATTATCCATTAGCCTACACAAGGTATGCTACTTACGTAAGGTACAGATATAGAGAGATAGAGCCAAATTAAATGAGTTGAGATTGCTGAATTAAGGGAGAGAGAAAGGGGGAGGCAGCAAGATGAGTGAATACAGAAAGAGCAAGAAAAAAAAACCAGCAAGATTGAGATTGATTTATTGATAGCGTTTTATTGAGTCACGCAGAATTAGGTCTCGTGGACCTCTCATACATCCAACGCTGGTTATAATTTACATATAAACGTCATAATATAAATTATACTAAATGATCTACTTTATGTAAGAATAAAAATTATCCATTAGCCTACATAAGGTAGGTAGAGATAGATGCGAGAGAAAGAGAGAGAAAGCAAGATTGAATTGAGATTGATTGAGAGAGAGGGAAGAGGGACGCAGCAAAATTGAGTGAATGAACAAAAGAGCAAGTTAGAGAAAAAGAGAGAGCCAAAAGAAGAAATTGAGCAAGAAAGAGAGCCAAATTAAGAGATTGAGTGCAAGATTGAATGAATTGAGATTGATTGCTTGAGAGAGAACGAAAGCCATCTTAAGAGATCAAGGAGGAGAGAGAGTGCGTAAGATTGAGTGAATTGAGATTTTGATTGATAAAACGTTTTATTTAACCCCGAAAATCTAGGTCCCGTGGTCGTTTCTTCAACTTACTTCCACAGTCTTGAGTGAATGACAGAAAGAGCAAAATTGAGAGATAGAGAGAGAGCGAGAGAGAGATAGAGTGAGAGACGGACACATAAAGAAAGAAAGAGAGAGAGATAGTAAAACGTTTATTTCTCTTACTATATATCTCACCGCTTATTATCATCATTATTAAAATCGTCATTATTATGTGGTCTTCAGTTGTTAAGAACAAATTTGTTAAACAACCCTCACTGAAGGTGGCGACGAGCCAAACCACACGAAGCAAACCGTAACAATTTTAAGTCGGGTGTGCTGAGATAACTAGTTTCGTGTGGGAAAATACCAATAAAAAAATCTATTATTTACCATACTCGAAAATAATTAATAATCCGTTTAAGTGTAATTGGGGTTTATAAAAAAGGGATTATATTATTTAAAAGGGATTATATTATTTAAAAGGGATTTTTTGATTATATTAATATAAAATTAAATGGTTGTGTGAAAATGGCCATACAAACTGGATATTTTGTAAAATGGCCTTGTGGATATATTATTTATTTATAGCAGCTGTTTTTTTTTAATTAAAAAATATTATTTTTTAAAGGGTTTTTAGAGTTGTATAAAAGATAAGAGGAAAAGCCGGCTTTAATGGTTGGATGGTGGCGGCATATGGTTCAAAAAGGGTTTCGATCCGCCCGCCCCGTCAGCGTCTATTGTCCCAGGGGAATTGGGTCGGGCCGTCTGGAATCTCTGGGTCAGATCTCATCCGTAGGAAGCGAGAGATGACGGGCCCCCGATTCGCGGTCGGCCGACTCGCCTTCTGAGTCACGACCCCCGGCCGACCGCGCTTTGATTCAACCATTCTCGGAAATGTTCCATTACCCCTTCCGGCCGATTATTTTTAACCCGGCGACGCCTTCCTTTCCTCTTCAAAGCCGCCTCCGCAAAAATTACCCCCCCCCCGACCTTCCAGACA